AATAAACTAAAAGCTCAAAATATTCTTTATAGATTGCCATTTGTCAATGTTCTGAAGGGCTTTTAAAGCATCTAATAAGAGAAGAATAGTTTCCTTTAGTAAATAAAGTCCATAAATGGTATTTGACAGTAACGATTTAAATTTTACTTACTTAGCTGCACAGTCAATTATCCATATACAAACATGAAATTGGTATTTCTTTCATGCAATTTTAAAGGCTTAAAACAGTATACAAAATGATAAATGAGGAATAAACTGCTTTCCTGTAAAAGGATTTTAGGGATGCTCAAAGGAAGAAATAAAGAAATAGAATCAACTTGAATTGTATCAAGGTGGGAAAATAATGACTGCTTTCTCTCTGCATTTTGGAAGTGTAGCATGACGGTACAAGCAAGAGAATCTTGTTTTAATTCTTTTTCAGCTGTTAACTATTTTCTACATAGAAAATAGCATATATAATGTTTAAAGTTTGTTAGATGCATGGTTTAAACCATAATAAAACAAGCAGCTGGTACTCAGAACGAAGCTCAAAGAAGACAGCCTTACAGATATTTTGAAGACCCCAGGATGCTCCTCCTTGAACAGAGCCCCTGCATACCCTGAGAGGTAACTGCTATACTAAATTTCTTTTAATCATTTGATTTTCCTTGGATTTGTTCTACACATGGACGTGTCCCCATTCAAAAAGCTTGCTTATGCTTTTCTTAAGGTTTAGAGAGATAGACATGTCCACAACTTGCTTTTATTTAATTTAATTAATTTATTTTTCAGTATTGTGTTTTTGAAATCATCTATGTTTCATTACTAAATAGGAAACTACTGTATACACAAACCAGAATTTAATTATACATTTTTTTTGTAGTGATGGACGTTGGGTTGTTTCCTCTATTAAGAAAAATGCTGTGATAAATATGCATACCTTAGACACGTGTAAGAGTTTCTCCAGGTTACATTTCTGGGTGTAGAATTGCTGGCTTTTAGCTTTCATGCATGTGCTTTTCTATTAGATAATTCTAACTTGGTTTCTCAAGTATTTATATCAATTTCATATTTCCACCATCAGAGTTCCTGTTGCTCCACATCCTTGTCAACACTTTATAATTTCATACCTTTTAAAACTTTTGCCAATCAGGTAAATGTACAGTGAAGTCTCTTGGTGGTTACAATTTGCATCCTTCTGCATACCTTGATAGCAGGCCTCTATGTTTTTTGGACATTCATATTTTCTTTTCTGTGGAATGCTTGTTATGTCTTGATCACATTTTTATTGACATCATTTTTATTGATTTATATGAGTGTTTTATACAGTCTGGATATTAATCCTAAGTCAGTTATAAGTATTACAAATATATTATTATTTTTTGTTGGCATTTTCATGATTTATAGTATCTTTTAATAAATGTAACTTCTTACCTTTAATATAGTCACTAATTTTCTCCTTTAAGATTTTTTGTCTTGCTTAAGAATATAACAAAGATACGTTTCTCTAAAAATATAAAATTACATCTTTGATATTTAGTGTCACCAGGAACTGATGTTTGTGTGTGGGTCTATGGAAATGAAGTGGAATTCAATTTCATATCTTTTCATATAAACAAACATGTGTCCAAGAACCTTTTCATTGCGAAGTCCACGCTTTGTCTAGTTGTCTGTAGAGAACCTCTGAAATATATTGTGTGTATACATATGTATATATATGAAATATTTTGATATGCAGATATATTTCTAGGATTTCTAACACTCCATTGATTGGTTTATCTGTCAGCAAGATCTTTTTGCACCTGCTATTGCCTCTACACTTGAGAAACGAAGTTAATACTACCTAGTAGAAAAGCATCTCCTGCAGGTCTTTGCTTGGCTCACTTTTCCCTCTATTTAGGTCTTTTCTGAAAGGATACTTTTCTGAAAATTTTAACCTAAAACAGCCCCCAATCTCCCATTGATTTTTTTTTTTTTTTTTTGAGGAGGAGGAGGATCAGCCCCAAGCTAACATCTGCCACCAATCCTCCTCTCTTTCTTTTCTTTGGCTGAGGAAGACTGGCCCTGAGCTAACATCTGTGCCCATTTTCCTCCATTTTATGTGGGATGCCTGCCACAGCATGGCATGACAAGTGGTGCCATGTCTGCACCCGGGATTCCAACCAGCAAACACTGAGCTGCAGAAGCAAAATGTGCAAATTTAACTACTGTGCCACCGGGCCAGCCCCACTCATTGTTTTTTAAATCCTGTATCAAATTCTATTTTATATATCCTTCACCATTGCTTTGTACTTACATATACTAGTTTGTTTATTGCCCATATCATCCACTAGAATATAGAACCATGAGAACTGAGACCTTGCCTGTCTTGCTCATTTGTGCATCTTCACTACCCATGGAATAATACTCAGAGGATAGTGGGTATTTAATGAAATTTTGTGCAAGGAATAAATTAAGAAACGGGTATAAAATTTGCTCTGTAATTTATGAAATGGGGAGCATTGGACAAGTTACTTAACCTTTCTGAAGGGCACTTTTAAAATGCCAATATTATTTCCTTCTTTGCAGGCTAAGAGTTAGGGATAATGTACGTATTGTGCCTGCTACAGTGCCTGGCACACAGAAAGGACTTTGAAAATAATATATTGTATTATATATAGTCCCCCGATGAGAAGAAACAAGATGCAACTTGCCATTAAGAAAACATCAAATATACAGATAGGAAATATCAAATGAGAATTTTGGACTCAGTTGATTACAAAAAAAATGAAAGAAAGATAAAAAAAAGAAAGAAAGAAAGAAAGAAAGAACCCTCTGAAACTACTTTCAACAAAAGAAGGAATCCATTAGAAGACGATAGTGGTATCTCATGGAACCCAAGACTAGAAATAGACTCGGGGAATCCTCCCTCTCCCTCTCTCATTGCTGCTTTTCTCTGCAGTGAATTTAATTCATCTCCTTCCTTGCAACCAGCTTTCTCTGTTTTTCAGTTTACGTGGCAGCCAACAGCTACTGAGTTCATATGTTACATATTCAGTCAATCAGAAAGTGGCTGATCTTACTTTTCAATCTCAATTGCAAATTTTCCTGGAAAGAAAGGATTTGACTGCTTTGGTTTATATACCCACCATTCAACAAATCACTTGTGGTCACAGCATGAGGGTCATATTGCACAAACATAGCAGCTCCCTCTGACCCATGTAGATGGAGAGAGGAGTTACCTACTCCCAAAAAGGAAGCAGTCTTCCTTCCATAAGTTAAGGTGGCCGGGAAGACCATGAATAGGCATCAATTCTGACTATATTTTATAAATGTTAGTTAGTCTGATCTTCGAGCATCAGCTCAAAAAAGAACCACAACAGGAAGGTATAGCATAGTGAAAGGCCTCCACTGCAAAAGCTAAAAGACCTGGTTTCCCGTATCTAGTTAGCCAGCTGGGAAAATTCAGAGAAGTCACTATACATACAGTAAAAGGGTTAAATCAAATAGTATTATTTTTGTTGCTTTAAAGCTTTAAAATTCAATTCTTTCAATGGTGGGTTAAATTCCATGATACATTGATGGACATAAATAAAAATTTCCTTCCTTGTCTTCTTAATCTGTGCATTTTCTTCTAGATCCCTTATCTAATGCTGCAATTCTACGATGCAACAATGAATGACTAGGCTCAAACATGAATCCCTTGCTTAGAGAGACACTAAAAAGGAGACTTTATTTTGTTCTCCAAAGTTAAAGAAAGATCGATATTGAGACTGACTTTCATATCATGAAACTCTTATTTTACCTGATATCCTGCATGGCTCCACAAGGGCAACTGAGAAGGATGTATTTTCCTACCCTCATTTAACCTAACATTCCTTGGGAGGGGTCACTCCCATGGTGACAGCTTCTGGCAAAGGTTGACAGCACCATCACCAATTAAAGTGCCTCTTCTTCCTGACAGTCAGTACCCATTTTATTCTAGAGGTGCAATTTGGACTCTTTCTGTCATAAATCTCCTCTCCTGGATGGCAGTTTGAGGAAACAGCTGCTTCATTTCTCTCATACCATGGGAAGTTTCAGCCCACTGAAACCTCATCCACATGGTACTAATGACTGTTCCCTAAACAGCCCTCAAATTTGAAAGGCACTACCCACAGGTCCACAAAGCAGGAGGCCAAGAGTTAATAGTCTGCAAATGATATAGACAGCAAACTCACTAATGTCAAGTGAATAAAATAGTATATTAACAATTGTACAACAGTACTGTAAGCTAGATCCATACATGAAAAATAATGATTAAAGGAACCAAGCATTCTCTTTCTGAGCAACTACTAGATACCAAGTAATAGGCTCAGTTGTTTAAATACATTATCTCATTTAATCTTGTAATAAAAATCTCCATTTTTAAAATGAGGAAAAGGAGCCTCAGAAAAGTGACATCGATTTCCCAAAATTACACAGAAAAAAAGTATTGTTTAGTGTAACTTTCACAAAGTCAAATGCTCACAGAAGCCAAGCAGGTAAAATAAATGAATAAATTAGGCATGGCACTTGCACATTAAACAACAAGAAATGTTCCCCACCTCTACAATTAAGAATACACTCCCTCCAGGCTGGCCCCGTGGCTGAGTGGTTAAGTTCATGCGGTCCGCTGCAGGCGGCCCAGTGTTTCGTTGGTTCGAATCCTGGGCGTGGACATGGCACTGCTCATCAAACCATGCTGAGGCAGCGTCCCACATGCCACAACTAGAAGGACCCACACCAGAGAATATACAACTATGTACCGGGGGGGCTTTGGGGAGAAAAAGGAAAAAATAAAATCTTAAAAAAAAAAAAAAAAGAATGCACTCCCTCCTAGCAAATTTCAAGGATTATTATCTATATCTTAAATGTGCTGACCACAAAAAAAGAAATAGTAATTATGTGACATGATGGAGGTGTTAGCTAACACTATCATGGTAATCATTTTGCAATGTACAAATGTATCAAATCAACATGTTGTGCACATTAAGCTTACACAATGTTATATGTCAGTTATATCTCAATAAATCTGAAAGAAAAAAAAGAGGACACTCCTTTTCTCTGAAAATACCCACCCTGTAGATCATCCTTAATCTTCATAGGGACAGATAAATATTTCTCTATTATGAGAAAAGCAATAACGTGAAAGAAAAGATCACTGGTTACTGACACAGCTTTGGAGTCAGGGCAATATGGAAGGATAGAAACTATGGTTAACTGTGGACGGCATGTCTTGACTAAATGGAGCAGACATAGTAACCCTCCAGCCAATAGTTCTCCTGGGAATGCAGACACAGAGTGGCCAGACCTCATTTTCCAAGGAAAGATGCAAGTCTAGATCTTTACATCAAATTCTCCAATTTTTAAATGCTGGCTCAAATATTTTAAAAATATAATACACAGGCTAAATAAAATACACCTGTGGACCACCCTTTTTCAAAGATAGAGCAAGTAAAAATGAAGACACTGGATAGTGCACATCTGGGTTGAAACCTAGCTAAGCCACATAATGACTATGTACTTAGCTTCTCCAACCCTTAGTTTTCTCACTTGTAAAATAGAGATAAAAATAGTATCAGTAACAGGGTCATTAAAAGGATTACATGTGATAATGAATGTGAAGCACTCAGCACACAGCAACTGGTCAATAGATGTTAGCTAATACTTATACTAAGTAAATGAGTCAGGATTTAAACTAAAGTTCACCTTACTCCAAAGCCCATCCTTTTTCCATTATATCACCATTTTGCTTAACAAGCTGAGGACTCTTCATGGTGTTTTGGGGATCTCTTATAGTTTTGTTTCATCATAAAGTTGCTTTGATCACCCTATAATTATGATTAATCTCATGAACTTCCTTTCTCTAGCACACTCAGAAAGCTAAGCATTGGCTTTGGTCACCAATAAAGGAAAGCCTGACTCAATCTGGCTTACAAGATAAAGGGACTTTATTAGCTCACCTATCTAAAAAGTTTAGACTCAATTTTGACACAAAAGTTGTGTGTATGTGTGCGTGCGTGTTCCATATTTCTCTCTGCCTTCCAAGATGTTTCTATATTCCTAAAACTGACTTATTTTGTGATCCCAAGATGGCTGCTAATACCTTGGGATATGTGCTTTCTAATTCACATCTAGCAGGAAAGGAGATCATCTTTACTCCAGAATTCTTAGCGAAACCCTGAATTTCACCTTGATTGGGCCAGATTAGATGACATAAGAATGGGATGGCAACCCCTGAACCAAAGTACATAACCAAGGAAATGAATTGCTCTGATTGGTTTAGCCTAGGTTTTTGGCTCCACCACAAGATACCCAAATAGAAACTAGCAAGTGTTTGGAAAAGAGATTTAGAAGAGGGTTATCAAACAAGATATCATCAAATGTCCACTATACTGGTTTTAAAATTTTGTTTGTTTGAAGAATTGAAGTGTAATAGAAGCAGTAAATTTTATTACCAGGTGGTATTGAGATAGCCATGGACTGCACCAATTATGGTGAGTGATAATTTTACATTAGATAATGTCATTCTTTAATACAAAACAAAGTGATACTTAGTATCATGGACTCTTAAAACTTAAAAGCCAGAAGAAATCTTAGACAGCAGCTGATACAATATATATATTTGATAGATAAATAAAATGTTTCCTGAGTAGCATAAACAGCACGATTAACATCAAACTTTAAAGTTAATTGTAACTGGATTCCATATTTCTCTACTCATATTTCTGTTTTCTTTGAGCAGTTCAGAACAAATGGACAGGTCAAACTGCAAAGCCTTTTAGAGAAAATGTAGACTGATAAAACATAATTAGAGTAATTTTTAAGTCAGATCTACATTCTCTAAGTACTTCTAAGAGAAGAAAATTGATGGATCCCTATTTGGGGAAAGAAAGAGATAATAATCTCTCTGTCTGCCTGAACACATGCTATGATCCTACACAGCCATTTCGTTTTGCTTGATATTTGCAAGTTCTCCAACTTAGATGAGAAGAGAAAGGAGAGGGGGAAACAGGGGAAAACGGGATGGGAAAGGAAGAGAAAGGAGGGGAAGGAAAAGGAGTGACTTAATTACTAGAACTTGTATTTTGTCAAAGGCAACTCTTTTTCAAGGTTTTCAGATTTTTAAAAAAAATTTATATTGTTCTCTGATTCTGTCTCTGCCAACTTCAACAGCAGAATATTGCCAACAGAAGTGGTAAGCAATGTAATATCAAAAACATATGGTTCATGTGATAGGGAAACCAAATTCATTAGAATCTATATCTTTAAAAGTTTATACAAAAATTGGTAAATAATAATGAACACCTGAAATTATACAATGTTATAAACCATTATGATCTCAATAAATTAATTGAGGAAAAAAGAGTTTTTTGTTTGTTTGTTTAGGGTTAACAAGAATAGTATGATAAACTGTGCCTTACACTTCTAACTTGAAATTGAAAAGATTGTGTTTTCATAACTTTCAAAGAGATTGATTCCATAATTGTACCCCCTACAAATTAAAGAATCTTTGCAAATCTAAATCAAGAAAAAATAAAAGAAGAAAAATGAGCAAAGATTTCAGGATGACTTTTCCCAAAATATACATTTCTCAATCTCACTATTCTCCCTGTTCTTTTCCTCACATAAAAAGTTATGATTTATAGCCTAGCCTTTTTACAGAATAATGATTCTAATACTAAGATCAACTGTGGTCTGGATGGAACCGCCATGCTAAGAAACAGAAAACAGATTGAAAAGAGCCCATTTTTGTGTTTAAATTAAAAAATGTAGATTGAAAAAAATTTATCTGGAAATAATAGCCTTCTTGGACTGCGTTACTGTCACGAGGTATTCCTAGTCCACTGGTAAATAAAGATTTCCAGATTATATATGTGGCTGCACAGCGAATAATCTTAACTGCTTTCACCACTAGTCCAACCAGTTTGTCGGATGTTAGTCATCAATGTATCACAGCACCTCTCACTTCTAGGAAAGAAATACTCAGAGCAGTGTGAAAATTATTTCTTTAAAAGACAGCACCAGGTTTGTTTCTGTGGCGGGAACCAATTTTGCATAGGAAAATGCACTGACAAGAAAGTGAGTTAGGGGAAAGTGTGAGTGGGTAAAGGTTGGCGAAAGCAAAGACAACAGAAGAAATAACTAAAATTCTCTGCACTGAAAATAAATCCCTAAACAAAAATAAAAATAAAATAGCCTCTTTTCTTGCTTTTAATTTCCTGTTATACAGAGGATCAAAAGTGAGAAAAGGGAGAGAACAAAGAAGATAGAATGAGGGGCAAAGAGGGCTCCAAACACAGCCGGGAAGCCTGGAGCTCAACTTAGGGAAATAGCTACAGGACTTCTAAAAACGGGAATTCCTTACAGTGAATTTTAATTTATATGTGTTACTTCAGTGTAAAACTCTCCGTTTATCCAAAAGTTCAGAAAAACCTAGACATGAAAATCCCTTAAATAAGTGGTTTGGTGAAAAGTGAGGAGAAAGGCTAAATTCTTGCCTCTGGGTCCTGTGGCATGAAGCAGACTGAGGCAGAATGGACAGACAGCCCCCAAACTGACCTTATTCATCAGAGGTTATTTCACTCATCTCAAGGACCTAAAATAGTGTCTGGCATGTAGTGTTCAATAAATACTTGTTGGTTGAAGGAATAGATGAGCAAATGAATGAATGAAGAATCTTAAAGGTAGCAGTGATTTTGAGAAGGTAAGCCCCTTGGGAACCAAGAAAATCTTGCAGAGATGGTCATACTGTTAGTAGAGTAAGAAATGAAGTTTCTAGCAGTCTTATTGAAATCTTATAGGTCAATAAAACCCTGGTTAACATCTAGTTTACATCTAGGTTAACATCTAAGACTTTTAAAAATGAAAGTTTCAAGAGTAAATACTACTACAAGTTTTATTTTTTTTTTTAATCTTAAAGCATCTTCTTTTGCTTGCCTTTAATTACCTGTTGTACAGAGAATCAAAAGGCTTTCAAGGTCACTACCAAAAATAAATGTCCAAAGCATAATTTACAACTATTGGAAGAAAAGCAGCCTGAAATAACAGCTTTATAGACGCTCTAGTTAAACCAAAAGCTCACTGTCATTCTTGGACCTAGTCAAGAGCATTTTCTTTGAGAAGGAAGAGGAGGAAGAGAAGAAGAAGAAAAGGAAAATTTCCTTACAGTTCACCTTGTATAGTTTCCTTACATTGTTTCTTGTTGGCTCTAACAGGGCCATGTGCCATCCCTAATCCAAACACTGGGGCCAAAGGAATGTTATATTTGGACAGACCTGAGGCACATGTTTCTTCCTGGAGTCCAGGATAGTGTCAATGCCTTAGAAGCATGTGAACTGCAAGTGGAAAAATAATAACATATCAGAGAGATCAGAAGCACGGTTATATAAGGAATAAATAGATTCTGGTTAGCCAGAAAACAGATGTCCACTTATAGACATCATTTGATTTTTCTTCTTTCAGGTAAGTCAATATTTCTACTAAAACAACAGCATTTTTTGCACCTTGGCAGAGTTAGTAACGATGTTAACACCAGTGAGAATCTCACTCAAAAATTTTTAGATTTTCTACATCATGGTAGTAGCTCTGGGAAAAAAAGCATATCATGAAATGGGAATGCTAATGAAAATACTCTGAGTAACTCTAAAATGAAACAGCAGCATTATTCCCACATTTCACTGGCTGCTATTTTAGCAAATTAGTAATGCGTTATTTAGCAAATTAGAAGGAAACTAGTCAGTGAAGAATTTTCCTTTATTGGGTCACCCTATAAAGAATGTTGTTAAAATTAGATCTTAAATACCACTCCCTTAACACCAAATCAGCAAGCTCTGCCAGGTTAATACATTTTTATCTCATTTTTCTATTTTTATTCATTATTTCTAACACTTTTATTTAATTAAAACTTGGCTATCTCCAAATGAACTTAAAGATAGTTTTTAAAGACAGACATGAATGCTTTGCATTCTAACAAAGGACAATGTTTGAATAGTGTCTTGTATGCCTTCCCAGAGAATATGTAAGTATTTTTAGGCATTATAGTGAATCAAAATGAAATTGATACTTCATAAAAATCACTTTGAAGAAATAAGAGAGCTGCCTTTGGCCATTGGGTTTGAAGAGGCACTCCTAGCTTACTACATTTCCTTTTAAGGGCATTGCATTAAGAACACAAGTTATCTTAACCTTAATGTACACCGCAACAAGAACCAAAAAATACGGGCACAACAAAAACATTCAGCTGAAGAATTGCTACCCATAGGCAACATGGAGAATGTTACCAACAGGTTTTGTAAAACAATAAATATTTGATATGTCTTATAGGATCCATTACCAAAGTGTTTTTATGAACAATGATATTAGATTTATTTTTTTCCGGCTTTATCTCCCCAAATCCCCCTGGTACATAGTTGTATATCTTAGTTTCAGGTTGATATTAGATTTTAAGACTCCTATGTTCATTTGTTCTTTTGATTAATCATTTATTAATTTTAATAACAAAAAGTCACAATGATTGTTGACATCCAAGAAAGAAAATTAACATTAAATATTAGAGATCTTTCTTGAATAATGCGTTGTTTAAATAACCAGACTTGTTTTAATCAGCATTTTCCACTGCATGTTTCTTTATACCAGACATGAGAACAAGTCATGTACAGACTCTTGAACTACTTTTCTTCACAGTTTAGAGAAACAGTGGACATCTGAATTAACCAGAAAGGGGAAAACATGATAGCTAGCTTGCTGATAATGATGACGTTTTACTCTGAAATTATGGATCAAAATTGTAATATTTACCTCCCTATTGCACTTTAAAACAATGCTATGCTATTTTCCCGTGTGTCATCCCCTCAAGAAGCTTCTGCATCATTGGAGAAATTAGACCAGTGTACATAGAAGGACCCCAGAATCCAGTTTAAGGCAGTATATGAGCAAGTACTATGTTTGAATGATTAGATATCACGGTTCACACAGTTCCACAATTGAATGCATCTCCAGTATACGTATATATTAGTGTCCCTTCAGCTGAGGCCCTATGAAGACCATGATTCCTGTTAGAAATGGAAGTTATAAACACATCTTTCAAAGGTTCTAAGGGCAATATGGTTAGTAACAATAAAAGATATGTAACTCATCATTAGTCTAACATTTAACTGTTTATATACAAATTCTAACATTAATGAGCATCTTTTCCTTAAAGCAAGTCATACATGACTTACCTTCCAAAAAGAGAACTCCATGTGTATCTAGACCAAGACAGAAAAAGAAAATAATCTAGTATCATGTTTGCAAGTTTTGGTAACTGAAATCTTGAAGAAAGCAAAAAATTCTTGTTTAACCTAAACATTTAGTGTATTTTCCATTCATGACTAGGTACAGTATAGTCAAATTTTTTCACAAAATCTTTTGTATTATAATTGACAGGCATATGTATTTAAGATAACCACAGAAAATAATACCATCCAAGACTGATCCATCATAACAACTCATCATTAATATTTTCTCAGAAAAGACATTAAATGAGTTATATGCTATTACAGTCATAGTGAAATGATCATTCATACTAACGCAGGAAAAAAATCAACATAATCATCTACTCTTGAAAAGATTTCTAAATTTACAATAGCTAGTAATCTTCTTAATACTAACATACCTACAAGAATCTAGAGTGATTCAGATGTTCAATTGTAGACTAAATATTGTCAAATAAAAACCAAAGCTGGATAGTAGTTAGAGACCTAAAAACAGATCTTATTCAGGACTATTCCCATAGGGGGAAAAAGACTCAACATCAACCCAGGCTCAACTCCAAATGCAGCATGGGCAAGTGGGAACTTGTAGCCAAGGAGAAGGGTCGGGGGCAGGGGATGGAAAATTCTAAGAGGAAATAGTGATGGGGGGGGTTCTGGCTAAATGGACCTAATAGGATTCTTGCTGAAGGCAGGCCAGGGTGCCCAGACATCGCCTGGGGGATGGTGGAGGATGAGGAACCTGATCAGATAGCTATCGAGAGTGATCAGATATCGAGGGTGGGGGACTCGCTAAATTGACTTGGCAGAATTCTTGCTAAAACTGGATTTTACAAGGAAGCACACAAGGTGGACCCAGGAGAATGTTCGGGAGGAGCCTAACTAAAGTTTGGTCAAATAAGCCGTCAACATAAACAGAGACGATCTTAGGATATACAGTGTAGTGATGTCCAATCACCACCTGCTCTTTAATCAACATCTACTTTCAAAAAGCTCTACGTGTGAACACACTTATTAGCATAAAACATGAAAAAAGTGATTAGCTTAAAAGATGAACAAAAAAGGTGCTTAAAAGAAGAAACTACTTTTCTCTTAATTGTCAGCACATGGAAGGTCATTCTAAAAATGTTTTTTAAGTCCAAAACTAAAAAGAGCTGATAGATTTTAAAACATAAAAATTTTAGAAATTTGAATAATAAGATGACTATTATCAATTATCAATGCTTGCAAAAATCACTCTGGCCTCCACATTAGTCCTTGAATTCAATAAGCAAGTCTCCACTTTAGAATTCTTGCATTTGTTGTACCCTCGACACTTTTTGTTCAGGTAGCAACATGTCCTCCTTTCTCTTACTTCCTTCAGATCTCTTCTCAAATGTCACCTTCACAGTGGGGCCTTTCCTGACCACTCTACATAAAATAAATAACAGATATCCCCCAAAGAAGCAGATTTTCTTATCTCCCCTTATCCTGCTTTATTTTTGTTGATAGTATTAATCACCATCAGAGTTAATGCCCTCCACAGTTCATGCTTGTACTTTTTAGCTCTCATAACTAAAATGCAAATAATACACTTCATCAAGGGAACCTGTCTGAGACAGTAACCCCTCCATTTCAAGAAAGCATCTTTCAGCCAGCACCATTCTTCTGTGAAATAAGCAGTTTCTCTGGCAAGTCTGAAAGAAGGAATGAGGAAAATGAGAGGATCACTCATTATAACTGCCCTCCTGGAGTCCTTTCAAGAATATGATTCCATGGCAGATGAAGAGAATTCAGAAACTAAGAGGCACTCTGCTACGATTTACAGGAGGCTTGGGCATAGATCCACATGAAAGATAAATACAAATGTGTGGGGAAGGAGGGCTGTGGCAGGGGTAAAGACATCCTTCATGTGACATGGAAGACCCCCAGGAACAGTGATTCTGGGGATGCGAACTTAGCCTGTTGAATAGTCCTTGAGAATGACATTTTAAAAGAACATCAAGCACTTCAAAGACCAACGGGGAAATTGGCTTAAAATCCAAAACTTGACAGTCTGCACGCTGAAGTACTATAAGGCACAGATTATCCTAAACATTTCTCATTGTTCAAAGATCATGGCCATTCCCAATATAGAAATTACCAAAAGGGGGCACTCTTTCAATAGTTCTGAGTGAATAGAAATAATAGCATAAACCGAAATTAACACAGCATTCTGCCATTCTTTTCTTTTTAAGTTATTCTTTTTTCTCATATTTAATAGGATTTTAAAAAGTAAAATAGATATCTTTCCAAATTTCAAACTACAGATGTTTTATAAAAACCCAAAATATTCAGGCCTCTTTCAGAAACTAGCCAAATTCCCCATTTGGGAGATAGAATTGAAGTTGGAGGTAAAGCCAATAAAAAGATAAAATACTTCCAGATTACAGAAGACTTGGATCATTTTAGTGATGTTGCCAACAGATGGCAAATGCAGGGCAATGGAAGATAATGCCAAAATAATTACTTCTCAAGCCAGGAGCCAAGCTAGGGATGTGTTCTCTGAGAAATAATCATTCTGCTCACTGCTTGAGAAAAGGACATACAAACACAAATATTAGGAGGAAAATAATCAAATCTATAGACACAAAGGAAGAGCACTAAATTTAAAAATATTCTAGTTGAGGGAAAGAAAAAGGAGAAGGAATATTTTAGATATGCCAACTAGGAATAAAATTCTATTAAAGTAATTCAATAGCAACAGTGCCTACCTTTTTAAAGCAGTGTGTGCTAGGCAATGTGCCCTGTCCTTTTACAAGTATATTCTCATTCAACCAACAGCAATGCTATGAGCTTGATTATTACTCACACTTTGCAGAAGAGGAAAATGAGGGATAAAGCAGTTGAATAACCTTCCCAAGGTCACACAACTTGTAAGTGGTAGAGCCAAGATTCATTACTAGGCATTCTGATTCCAGAGACCATACTCTTGGACATTACACTACGTTTTAGGTCAAATGTTTCATGTAAACACCCCAAAGACAGCTTGACTTTCTGTTTAAAGGCAATCCAACTACGTAAGCCTGGTACACTATGACAATTGTAATTCTGCTCACATAAGACTCAAAGACTCATTGATTCAAACATTTTATTAGCACTTACTTCCTCACAAGCATCATACCAGACACTAGAGAGATGACAATTTAATTCCAGGTCAGGAAGAGCTTATAGCCTAGTGGAGAATAAGACCGATATGTAAACAAATAATCATAATGCAATGCAGGAAGTGACATCCTAGGAGGTACATTCAAGTATAAAAAATTGCAGACTTACCACAGGATTCTATTGCCTTTTCCTCTCAGGCAGGGAGGGGAAGATTGGAAGGAAAAAAGGGCTAAGAAAGAAATAATGGCCGAAAACTTCCCAAACCTGGTGAGAAATTTTGACATCCAAGTTCATGAAGCTAATAGGTCACCCCAAAATTTCAATTCCAAATGATATTCTCCAAGACACATTATAAGAAAACTGTCTAAAAACAAAGACAAAGAGAGATTTTAAAATCAGCAAGTAAAACAAATTTGTTTCATATAAAAGAACCTCCATAATGTTATTAGTGGATTTCTCATCAGAGACCTTGCAGACCAAAAGAGAATGGCATAATACATTCCAAGCGGTAAAAGAAAAAAATTGCCAAGCAAGAATACTTTACCAAGCAAAGTTATCCTTCAAAAATGAAGATGAGATAAAGACTTTCTCAAAAAACAAAAGCTGAAGAAGATCACCACAAGATCTGCTTTACAAGAAATGCTGAAAGGAATTCTTCAAGCTGAAATGAAAGGATGCCAGCTAGTAACATGAAAACAATGAAAATAAACAACACTGGTAAAGGCAAGTAAGCAGTTAAATGCAGAATACTCTAATACTGTAATATAGTGGTGCGTTAACAACTTAACTCTAGTATAAAGCTTGAAGCACAAAAGAAACAAAAATTGCTATAACTACAATAGTTTGTTAATGGATACACAATATAAAAAGGTGTAAAGAGTGACAACAAAAAGAAAAAACATGGAGGGGGGAATAAAAAGGTAGAATTTTATATGCGATTAAAGTTAAGTTGTTATCAGCTTAAAATAGACTGTTATATCTACAACCTATTTCAAGTAAGCCTCAGAGTAGACACCTCTAGTAGATACACACAAGATAAAGAAAAGGGAATCAAAGTATAGCTCTCTTGAAAATCATCAATTCATAAAGGAAGATCACAGAGAGGAAGAAAAAAACAAAGGAACCACAAAATAGCAAGAAAACAACTAACAAGATGGCAGTTAATTTTGCACATTCCACTTCTCGGCGTCCTGGGGTTCGCTGGTTCGGATCCCAGGTGCGGACATGGTACCACTTGGCAAAAGCGATGCAGTGGTGGGCGTCCCACATATAAAGTAGAGGAAGATGGGCATGGATGTTAGCAAAAATAGGAGGATTGGCAGTAGTTAGCTCAGGGCTAACCTTCCTCAAAAAAAAGATCGCAATAGTAAGTCCTTAGCTATCAATAATCACTTTAAATGTAAATGGGGTAAACGCTCCAATAAAAAGGCATAGAGTAGTTGAATGGAATAAAACAGGACCCAACCATATGTTGCCCACAAGAGACTCACTTCAGCTTCAAGGACATATATAGGCTCAAAGTGAAGAAATATAAAAAGATATCCTACACAAATGGACACCAAAAGAGAACAAAGGTAGCTATATTCATATCAGACAAAATAAACAGACTTTAAGCCAAAAATGGTGACAAGACAAATAAGGTCATTATATAATGATAAAGGGTCAGTTCATTAAGAGGATATAACAATTGTAAATATATATGCACCCAACATCAAAATACGCAAATATATTAAGCAAATGCTAACAAATCTGAAGGGAGTAATAGACAATAATATAATAATAATAGTAGGGACTTTAATACCTCACTTCAACAATGGATAGATAATCCAGACAGAAAATCAATAAGAAAATATTGGACTTGAACTATCCTT